TATTTACAAATTTGAATCAAATTGAATTTAAAGCTATTAACACATTTTCGATTTAGGCTTAGGGCCTAGGGTCTACATTAAGATCGAGGCAGACGTACTCGTGGATCAGGGCCGAGCAGCCCGCCCGCGCTACCATATGTACAAGGCTGAGATCCGGCCAGGCCGAGTCTCGCGTTGGCTGCTACACGCGCGACTGGTGCGGACTGTAGACGGGGACGTTGTGGAAGCTGATGCCCGCGTAGAGGGGCGCCTGGACGGAGGAGGCGGGGGGCGCCGTCACGGCCAGCATCGACTTGCCGCTGGCGTAGAGATGCTTCTTGGGCAGCGCCGCCGCCGACGACTTGTGCTGCGTCATCAGCGAGGAGCTGGGCGAGCCGCCGGCGACCAGGCGGCTGCGGTAGCTCTCGCAGGTCTTGCGCGACCACACCCACATGCCGGTCAGCGTGCCGCCCACCAGCTGAAAGAAGATGCGCACCAGCGCCGGCCAGGCGCTCAGCTGTGCCGGCTGCATGCAATCCTCCGGCGTCGCGCAGCTGGGCACCGCCTCCACGTACCGCTCACAGAAGGCGGCCACCACGCCCGCCGCCGTCGGCACGAAGAACAGCAGCGAGAAGATCACAAAGCGTTTGCGTATCTGGGCGAAGCGCTGATGCGCCAGCGTCGGCTGCAGCTGCTGCTGCAGCGTGTGCAGCGACCGGGAGGCGCGCAGCGTGAAGTAGAGCCCGAGGAGCAGCAGCGCCAGCGCTGGCAGCTCCACAAATCCGGGCGCCGTGCACATGCCGGTCAGCTCGCTGGGCCGCACGCGCTCCAGCAGCAGCGCGGCGATGGGCGGCGCCAGCGGCGGCACCCAGGCGAGCACATGGAACAGCCCGGAGCGCTTCTCCAGCGCCTCGCTGGACCACTTCTTGTGCGAGGAGAGGTAGAAGCAGAGCGCAAAGATCAGCCACCAGCTGGCCGCGCACAGGCTCAGGTACGAGGTGCTGATGTACGAGGCCAAGCAGGGCGGGGTGAGGGCGCAGGCCGCCCGACCCGCTCGCCCGCCCGGCTCCTGCAGCAGCGCCAGGCTGCGCGCCTGATGGAACACGATGCGCTCCAGATAGCAGACGCTGAACAGATTGTAGCACAGGCAGAGGAACAGCACCGGACGCTCCGGGTAGCCGAAGCGCGTCGGCTCCGCCCAGAACGTGACCAGAGCGAACAGCGTCAGCACGAAGCACACGGCGGACAGGCCCAGGACGAGGCTTTCGGTCAGCTTCTTCTGCTGCGTCGTGTGGAACGCGTCGCGCTGGCACTGCGGCAGGCACTCCTCGCCGTTCAGCGGATTCACGCTGAAGTTCTGCGGACAAAAGCCAACGCCGACGCCGACGCCGACGCCGACGCCGACTGAGCCAATTGAGCCGGCTGCGCCCGGCGCTCCGTTGCTGGACGGCGATTTGCCCAGCTGCGCGGACATCTTCCAGGCCATCCAGGACCAATACAGTTGCTGCTGTTGCGGCGGCGGCGGCTCGGCGGCCGASGTCTGTTGTCCATCGGCGCTGGGCGCTGGCACGCCCACAGCGGAGCCTTCGCTGGCCGCCGCCTCCTGCGGTATTTGCATGCAGAGCTCGTGGTTCTCCGGCTGGGGCAGCGAGTCGCAGCTGAGAAACTGCGGCCACAGCTGCATCAGCTCCGGCGCCGCATTCGCGGCACATTCGCCCTTGACCGTCTCGCAGAGCGACTTGCAGGCAGTCACGGGGCGTGGCACATCCGGGCTGCAGAGCGGAAACAGCGCCGAGCAGAGCAGAAAACGTGCTCGCCGCGAACAGCCAGACTCGATCAGCGGCAACAGTTTGGCTATCTGCAAGAGAGAAAGAGAGAGAGAGAGAGAGATGAGAAATGAGTTAAGTGTTTACGATTACATTCATGATTGCAGAGACTAATTGAATTTTGTAGAGGAGTGACGCCTTAATGCATAGATTGAGTAGTCTACGACTAGAAGAATTAAAGTATTCAGCATTTTATAGTGTAGAGTCAAGCACGTTCTTCTTCTATTCAACTTGTACTCAAAGGTCTAACAACCTGAAGGATGATGAGAGGGAATAACGGAGGGATGGATGGTAGAGCGCTAGGATGAATGAATGGACGGTAGCATAGAGAGTCGGGTGGGGTAGGAGGATGGGGGGATGGAAGAAGAGCTGGCCAGGAGAACGGTAGAGCGAATGTAGCGACAGTCTGTATACAGTCGAAACCTTCAAGGCTTAATATGAATAGAATTGCTATCAGTTAATGGATCAGTAGGTGTTAGTAGGTGGAGTAGGTAGAGCAGTAGGCACAGGGTTCCTCGACTTAAAGCTGAGAATAGAAAATTAAGATAAATTCTTAAGCCAAAACTCATATTTTGTGGAGAGATAGGAGTCTTACCCCAAAGCAGTAGCATGATAGAGAACCAACTTTTTGCATTATCCTTAATAGGTAGATTGATAAAGAATCTAATTGTTTAACCATCTAGCGAAAGGTTGGGTATTCTAGAGATCTAGCTCAAAGTTGATTTAAGTAAATAACTCATATACTGATATAGCTCGCATAGTCAGGAAAAAGTCTTATTGGTTAATCAGAATCTAATTGGGCAAAGATCTAGCACTAACTTTAGCTCTAATACATCTACTCATATCATAGTCTAAGCTGACTCTCTTATATATAGAAAGATATATAAGGATTATGATTTCGATTTATATTTCCACTGCCAGTTATTTTCCCTCCCCCTTCTCTCAATTCCCTTGCCCAACGCCAACGGCCTTAAGATCTTCTCCATGCACATTCTCCACAATTAACTTTCCAATGGTTTACGGCTCAGGCAGCGCAATCTCTGTAGATCTAGAGCTTTATCAATTAAGACTGGGTGCTGCTTTCAAATCACTCAGCGCAATTTTCATAGATCTAGAGCTTTATCAATTAAGGCTAAGTCAGGTACTTCCCGGCCACCAGTAAAACTTGAAAGTTTGCCGCCAAATAATTAGAGCGAAGTGGGCAAAAAAAAAAAGAACTCGGCAAATATGTGCGCAAAGTTAAACAACAAATACTAAAAGAAAAAAAAAATATAAGCACAATTCTAAACAATAGAAAAAAAATACAAAAATCTAAACAATAAAATTGTCGGCGTTCCCATTCACACCTCACACCTGGGCAGGGGCGTTCGGCGCCGTTGGCATTTGTTGATTGTTGTTGTTGTTGCTGCTGTTGCTGTTGTTGTTGCTGTTGCTCTTCATTGATGTCTATAATTTTATCTAATAAAAATGCAATAAAATTGTAGTCAAACGTAGACGAGGTTTGCGCGTTTATCTCTTTGTTCTTTTGCCGACCGAATCGCGTCTAGTCGCAGCTACAACAGCAACTAAAACAACAACAACAACAACTACAACAAATGTTAACAATATAAAATTGGAAAAAAAGCAAACGACAACAGAAAAAATATCTAATTGCATTTGTTTACAGTCAATTAAATAGTTTTGTTTATCTAACAATCGCAGTCTGTGAGACATTTTGTAACGCGCCCCTCCTCAACAGCAAACGAACGAAACTCTTTCATCTCCAGCCAATTATCAAGTGAATTTATTAGGTAAACAAGGTTGCAATTGACATCCCTATCAGAGAGTATTTCAATTTGGATCAGGAATATCTATAAATGGTTTACCTTATACATCAAGTCGCAACATCAAATGGATTTTTATTATTATTTTTTTTTTTTTTTTAATTTTAATATGGTATTTCAAGTACTTCAAGCTCTTAAAGTTAACTGAACTCTATATTTCTCATAAATTTCGTGAATTCATATTTTAAAGTCTTGCGATGTTTCTAATATAAAATTTTATCGAACTAATGTATGGACAGATGATTAATCGGAAAAACGATTGGACTGATGGAGGGACAAATAGATGGACGGTTATACGAGTGGACGTACGGAAGGAAGAATAGAGGGAAGGATGGAGGGAACGATTGAAGTAAGGATGGATGGATGTAAGGACTCAAGGAAGGATGGATGGAGAGAAGGACGAAAGGAACGAACGGATGATAGGATCCATGAAAAGAAAGACGGGAAGAAGGCGGGGGAAATGACGCAAATAACAGAACGAAGGATGGGAAGAAGTACGGAAGGAAGGATGGACGAAGGAAAGTACGGAAGGAAGAACTAAAGGAAAAAAGGAAAGATAAAAGGAAAGACTAAAGTAAGGAAAGACGGCAGGATGCACGAAAAGAATTCACGGCGGGGAAAATGGAAGAAAAGACGATAGAAAGCAAGGCCGGATAGACAAACGGATAGATGGACAGAAAGACGGATAGATACACCTCCGAGCATGTGCTGCTATACAGCTAGACGTAGACGAAGGATAAAGGGAAAGTAGGAATGGATGGATCGATGTACAGACGGACTGATTGACAACTATATGTCTAGAACCACTCAGTTCGCCATCCTCTTGAAGAATATATATGTATATTATGAGCTCAGACAAGTATACCTCTAAGGAAAATAATGTAATGTAGTCTTATGTTAACAAAAAGAAAACCTGCCTTTTACTATTAAGAGTAAATTAACATTACATGCCGAATAACATTACTTTAACAGAAACAAATGCAATTTGTGCTTCAAGTCTAGCGCGTCTTCCGCTGTAGACCATGTGCTAGTCGTTGCAGGCGAATGCAACTCTCTGATAACAGTGTTGAATTTCCCATTAGTCGATGACAAATGCGGTTTGTGTGAAAATTAGCGACAAACTTCGCACATGCGACGGGCCGAGTGGCGGAGGGAGGAGGGGTTGCAGCAGGTGAGTCAATATCGATATGGCTTCCCATGCCCGTTCGCAAGTGTTGAGCGCAATTACGGGCTAATTACACGCAATGCATCGAATGCCTGCAAATGGCGAAAAGAAACAGACCAAAGCGTTTCCGAGTTGCGACTATTAATTGCAAAGCCAGATTCAACTTCAATCGAAATGATCCGCAAGCAGAGGTAAAAAACCAATACAGAGAGAGAGAGAGAGAGAGAGAGAGAGAGGGGAGAAATTATGATACATAATAATAAAGGCGAACGGGGTCCAGACATGTCCGTCAAATGATGACGCTGACGCTGACGATGACGAACCCCGAACGTCCCGGGCGAGGCATAAAACATTTATGAGTTTGCGGAATTTTCGTCTAGAAGACGACCCAAAAGGGTTTCGGATTTGGGCCTGCGCTTAACGCGTATCTTAGCCACAGCCAACAGAAATAAAAAGCAGAAAATAAAAATGTGAAAAAAAGACTGCATCAAATTAGTGAGACGTTTTCTCAGGAAAGAGCCCAAAAAAAAGCTAAGAACAACAGCAAAGCAAAAAAAAAAAAAAAAGCAGCAAAGGCTTTGTGACTCCCAGTGCGGCACTTTGACATGCATTTGATGGGTTGACATGCGGTCCCAAGACCAAGTCCCGACCGAGCTTCAACTCCAGCTCCAGCTCCAGCTCCGCCTCCGCTGGCTCGGCTCGGCTCGACTTGGCGACCAACATTCATCGAGGCTGGAGCTCTCGAGTCTCAGTTTGGCATTCATTCAGCTGCCACAGGTTTAGCTGGGCTTTGCTTCGCTTTGTTGTCTTGGCCAACATACTTGTTGTTCTGGCTATAATTAAGGTACATTAGGGCAGTCAATAGCCACACACACACACACACACACAGACAGAGACACAGACACAGTGAAGCACTGTATAGCCGCTGGTCATGTGGAACAGCGCATTAGGCACGCGATATACCCTTCTGAACAGATATATATATTCAAGCAGGTATATATTTCATATGCCATATGAAACACATATAAACACATATATACAGACATCTATATATATTATTACAAATACAGATATAGAACTAACTCTGCTTCAATTTGAACAACTTCTCTTAGCAGTTTTACATTATTCGATCAATTTGCGAGGTATTTCATAGTCGTTCAAATATCTTCGATTGAGTTCGTCTCTCGTTTCGATATTTCATCCAAGTTCTTTTGTGGCAGCCGCCTGTGAACTATTATTGTCAGATCGCGCTAGCATCCATCTCACTTGCCCTTTCTTCCAACCTCTCTCTTCATATCACTCTCTCTCTCTCTCTCTCTCTTTCTCAGTCTCTGCGTCTATTATGCTGACCCAGAGGCAATAATAATTTAATGATGCTGCAGTCAGGCTTCAACAATAGCAACAAGTGTCAGGGCCCCATCATCATCAGCATCAGCATCAGCATCAGCATTATCATTATTATCATCATTATCATCATTGCCATCGTCATAGGCCAGGCCGAAAACTGAAAGGCAATCAACCTAATAGACAGGCCAACCGCATCTACAGTCTTAGACACAGGCTGTTCAGGGCAACAGAGTGAGTGAGTGAGAGGGAGAGAGAGAGAGAGAGAGAGAGAGAGAGAGAGAGAGATAGACTAGCTACGAAAGCTGTTTCACGCTTTTGGGCCACAAACAAACGGCCGGCCAAGTGTCTGAAATGTGTTATTAATGCCGCTTTGTGCTGTTCTTTTTTTTGTTTCCCCTCTTTTTTTGGTTTTGTTTTTTCTTGCTGCCAAATGCAAAAGGGCAAACCCGACTTGGCCACAGTCTCCGTCTTCGTCTGTCTGCCTCGCCCCCTGCCGGCCTGCCCCAATGCCCATTCCCGAGCCGAGGCGGTTTTGCGTCTGCGCATCGAATGCAATCTGCAACGCTGTGAGCATTTTTTGGCCACGCAATTGCCGCAGAACAGCAACAACAAGAAGCAACAACAACAAAAACATTAAAAAAGAGGCCGCGATTCGCTGCGCCGCGCCGACGCGCAACGCGTTGCACACCCGACAAAA